TTGATAATAGCTCTTCTGAGAGGTGTGAGGTGATATCTCATTGTGGTTTTGATTTGCATTTTCCTGATGATTAGTGATGTTGAGAATCTTTTTATGTACATGTTGGACACCTATATCTTTTTTTGAATAATATTCAGTTCCTTTGCCTTTTTTTTTTTTTTTTTGCTAATCTTCACCCAAGAATATTTTTCCATTAATTTTTAGAGAGTGCAAAAGAGGGAGGGAGGGAGAGAGAGAGAGAGAGAGAGAGAGAGAGAGAGAGAGAAACACCGATGTGAGAGAGACACATGGATTGGTTGCCTACGGCACAGCCCTAGTCGGGGTCTGGGATCAAACCTGCAACCCAGGCATGTGCCCTTGATGCTTTAACCATTTAGCCAAACCGGCTAGGGCCACCTACTTTTAATCAGATTGTTGTTTTGCTATTATTGAGTTGTATGAGTTCTTTATATATTTTAGATATGAGTCCCTTATCAGATACATGATTTCAAATATTTTCATCCATTCGGTAGGTTGCCTTTATTTCGTTGGGGGTTGCTTTTGCTGTGAAGAGCTTTTCAGTTTGATGTAGTCACACTTGTTTGTGTTTTTGTTGCCTTTGTTCTTGGTGTCAAATTAAAATAATCGTTGCCAAGGTCAATGTAAGCTGGGGAGACTTATGGGAAACACCATGGTTAAAATGGGCTCCCTATGTCAATGGAGATGTCAGAATCTTGGGGTTGATAGAAGCTTAATAGCAACATTTTGCGGCAGTTAACAACTGGAAACAAGGTGGAAACAATAATAGAAGCAGATCTGTATTCAGAATAGTTTAGTCTACAGAAATCTTTGCTGGTCGCCAGTAAATCACAGGGCCCCATGTCCTGAAATTTTGTTGAAAAATTTAATAATTAGTACAGCACAGGTGCTGACCAAGAAAAATGGATGCCAGTATATAGAACTGATACAGCCAACCAGTGTATATCAACTGAATATTAGCTTGGCGTAGGTCCAGGTATGTGGGCAACCCACATAGGTCTACTTGATATCTATAACAGCAGGAAAGCCTGACTACAGCCACCAAGATGGAGTGTTGAGGCCCTCAGTTAATTTTAACACTCAATCATGATAAAAATGAAAGACTTGAAGGTGAAGAACTCTGTAATATAAATGCTTCCGACATCTTCCTTTGCAGCTCTATTTACAGGATAACATTGCATTACATAAAGAACACCACTCTCCCTGGCTGGTTTGGCTCAGCAGTTAGAGTGTTGGCCTGTGGGCTAGAGACTCCTGGGTTTGGTTCCTGCTAAGGGCACATACCTCGGTTGCAGTTTGTCATTGGCCCCAGTTGGGGTCATGTCGGTGGCAGCCACTTGATGGATCTCTGTCACATTGATGTTTCTCTCTCGCTCTTCCTCCCTATCTTCCTCCCTCTCTGTTTCAAGATAAATGCAAAAATGTCCTCAGGTGAGGATAAAAAAAAAAGACCACCACCCGACCTTTTGGAAATCATCTGGCCACAGTCTGAACAAATACTAATTTCTGGAGTCTCTGAAACCATTGTGGTCTATGGGACAAACTTTATGCTATAGCAATAAATCCATCATCTAGTTATTTTTCCAGTAAAGAGTTAGAATTGATTTATTCATCAGGTATTCCCACAGTGGCTCCCTAATGTATAAAAAAAAGGGGGTTATTCTGGCAGGAAGTACCAGATGATTTGCAGGGATAAGTTCCACCATCAAAAGCTTTACAGTAAGCAGGAGTGTGATTCTTACCAAATCCAGAATTAACATGATCTATGGTATGTGCAAGAGACGGATGTATCTTTAAGAATGATCATCCTGTTGTCAGACAAGTTCTCTTTCTTGGAGCACATCTGTAGTTAACTACTGATTTGGCCAATACTTTTTTGTTTCTCCTTGATTCCAGTAAGTAGAGGGCTCCAGAGCAGTTTGTGCCAGCAACAAGCAACATTATAGATTGCCTTTTGTCCATATTTTATTAACTGTGACACTGTCCCAGGATATAATTCTTGTTACCAGACCTTGATTATCTCACCATTGTACAGGGTTTCATGCTGGTCTAACGCATTGATGATGATGCACTCGCAGGACCTGGAGCACAGGTGTCGTCATTTCCACAGATGCCTGCTAGGTACACTGTGCCAAAGGGTAGAAGATCAAAGAAAGCACAAGAGTTTGCCACCTCAGCCAAATTTGTGGAGGTCCAGTGTCTGGTGCACGTTGGAATGTCCCCTCCACAATAAAGAACAAATTGTGTACTTTGTTCCACCTATGACTGAGGAAGAACCTCTCCATTTGGTGGGCTGCTTTGAAGTTTTTGTCCGCTACTTGAACGCAGTGGGTGATCCAAATGCTGCTAGCTTTAACTGGTCTAAGAAAAAGAAAGGCTGATCCTGGCTGCGGTGAAAGTAGTTCTACCATGTGGACCTTACAAAGGGAGGTTGAATAGGCTCAGAGTTTTGAGGCAAATCAGAATTCTGTATAAAATCAGGGTTTTTGATCAAACCATGCCCTCTTCAGAAAATATCTATTCTTTTCATTTACCACTGGGCTACTTGAGATAAAAGCAAATGAAAGAAAATTGCCCTGTTCAAAGGTTCTGTGAAGACCTCAAATAGACTCCCTCAGGGCCTTCTCAAGTTTTCAGAGGGATGGGTGGCATGTAAGCTGTCATACATGGAAACAAGTTCACAGGCAACATATTTCTGTTTTAATATGGGAATGTTTTAGAGGTCCTTGTGATAGAGTCCATCAAGTCATCTGGCCCACTCCTCAGTCCATCATACATGTATCCTCAGCCCTTAGCCTAACAAATAGACCAACAAGGAATGAAAAGCAAAGAACATACTTGAAGAAATGTTGATTTAATTCAGCAAGTTTTATAAAGACACTGCAACATTTGCAATGAGCATTCTTTCCAAATAACCATTAAAAAGTATAATGTATGTATACAGTATCAGGATTCTTTAGTTACAAGCAAGGAGATTGATTCTTATTTTCAAGAAATAAAGGGCAGATGTTGGGTAGCTCAAAGGAGGCGTTAATCAAGCATTCAGTAGGCCAGAAACGAGGGCGGCACTATGGATTTAAGCAGCGAGAGATCAAAACTATCTTTAAGAGAGGCTGCCAGTGGGCGACTTGATTTCAATCACTTCTTTCAAACGATATAGAGAAGAGGCAGTTCTTCAAAGTGTGAGTGTGTGGGGTGGAGGGGGAGGGTGGTGCTATGTGCTCTTATCAGGCTGAGCAAACAGAACCAGCAGTTTGCTGTACACACACAGCTGAGCTTTGAGTGACCATATATGTATTTTTCTATAAAACCTATATTTCTCCCATAATTAATGTTGATTATTAGTGTTTCTGATAGGAATCAAGTATTGACACATACTTATATTGGGCACCTAAAAGTAGATTCTGAAAAGTTATCAGAAAGAGCTATAGAAGCAGGAAAGATTTCATACACTAATTTATTCCCTTCATTTGAGTTATGTAAATCCATTTTTTTGTTCCATATTTTGGTTCTTTAAGCTTGTTTATCTGTCACTCTTTTTGCCAACTTAATCATAGAAAAACCTCTATGAGTGGTTTAGGCACATATTATTATCTCATTTTAAAGTAAGAAAATTAATGGCATTACATCTGTTTGGAGCCTAAAAACTTATGAATGCTAATTATACTTATTGATGGTTTTGGGGAGATTATATAGGAAATCGACTTCTATGTGAAGTTGTTTTCAGTCCACACAAGTCTTATTTCTTCCCTTTGTTTATAAGTAAAGTGTGAGGCTCCGGCTGAGTCCCAGCCACATCCAAGGCTAGGATGGGCAAGCTGGATGGTCTGTCAAGGCTGGCCCAGGGCAGAGCCTCCAAGTTGTGCCCCAAAACTCATTCTGAGCTAAGAGCATAGGCAGAACAGTGGACCCAGTTCTAAGGCCTCAAGGTCAGGAGAGTCAGCTTAGTGCCTAGTCAGTGTGCTGTTCCGTTTATCCTTGCCCTAGCCTAAGGACATGTGTCATCTAAGACACAGAGCATAAAACCAGAATCAACTGTTACCAGAAATTCTGTAAGCTCCCTGGCACACGCAGCAATGACTGGCATCTAACAGCATGTCACATTACGGGGAATGAGGCATCCCCTCCAAGTTACTGAATCTCAGCATCCAGCTTTGGCTTCCTGAGGGGATTGGGACATCAGTGGGGTGCCTGGGACCCAGCAGGAGAATGAAATGCTCCCCGAGAAAGGGCAATAGTAGGCAGAGATCAGAGAAACCAGAGAAAGCTGCAGAGAGCCAGCTTAGGACACTCCTGAACAGAGGAAACTCCCAGAAATTCCTGGGGAGGGGCAGATACTTTGTAATAAAAAGGGCTTATCATTTAAATAAACTCAGTTTGAAAAACACTGGTGAAGTCTGTGGAGCTTGGAATTTTCAGAAGAGATGACAGTGACTTATCATCAAAACATAAGCGCTCAATTTTTTTCCCCCAGTAAGGTTCAGAGGCATCTACACTGGTCCTCTCAACACTTGCCCTGGCACATGGGCAGACTGTCAGTACTCATCACCTGTGGAGAACTTTGTAGACAAGAAATCATATCTTTTTTGTGAGGATAAAAACTAAGAATATTGGTATCATTATCCTTAGTATCAAAGAACGTGTGTCATCTTCATTACTCTCAGGACTTTTGATTCCTCTGCCATGAGATAGATCTAGTTTTACTGAAAGAAAACTCAAATAAGGGCTTTAACATAAAGCAAGAAATGTAGTAAACGTGCTCTCTCTGTTCTCATTTTAAATTTGATTTATAATTCATCTCCAGTAATGAAAGAGAGAAAATGTGATGTGCCAACTGTGTGCTAGAATCATGAGAGAGAGGTTACTTCTGTCTGTGAATTCAGAGCTGCATTTGGACTATTGGCATTAACCATGGGCTTTGGATTCCTTTTTAATCAAATCAGCTTCTCCAGTTAAATTGATTGCTTTTATTAAGTTAACAATTAAGCAGCTGTAAGATAACACAAGAACATGGAGATGACGTCACGAGTGCACTGCGGTAAGGGTAACAGCCTATGCACAACGTCTGCAGCCAGGTTTCTCACAGGGATGCTAAACAGCCATCGGCCTGTTTACTTTGGTTTTATTAACAGAAATACTGACTTGGTGAGATTATAAGCATAGGCCTTTTAATACCCTCCTAGGAATCTGAACTTTTGCTTTCAATACCAAATAATATCTGGAAAACATGCTCACTTTTGTGTTTTTTTAGGAATTCTAAGAACTGGCCCAGATTCATGTGATAGTCATTCCTTAATCCGTAGTCGCCATGGGCCTCGAGGAGTAATTCTTCAAAAGAATGGAAAAGGCGCAGATCCTCCCCATTTCCTTCGGTTTCGATACTCTCAGCATGTTTACAGGAAATGTGTTTCCAGTTGGGATACCTGATTGTGTGCCAGAATTCCTCACAGTGCTCCTTGAAGCCTTCCACACAGATTATACCAGGCTTTCCTGTCATACAAAATCCAGTCACATCTAACCTTTTCCCAACATCCAAAATCTTTTTCCTTAAGTCCTGCTGATATATGTGGTGGCTGTAGATCCACATTCGGAGAAATGTGTTCTTGACTGGCTTTGCTTGTGTAGATGGTTCGTAAACCAGCTTTCTGTTCAGGAAATAGGAGGCACTGTTGTCCTGTAACCACTGGATTGCTGCACACACACACAGCTCACCTGGATCAAAAGTCCCTATATAAGAAGTGAGACTTCTGTTGAGAAGTAGCTGCTGTTGTCTGTCAAGCTCAGATGACCGTCCAAACAGCTGCAATGCTACATAGGGGTAGCTGTGAGGCATGGTTACTTGCAAATCAATTTTCACCTTAAAATGAAAATCAAATAGATTTAAGTACCATACAATCACCTAAGCTAATTTATCATGGCTTTATTAAACATAATGGTTATTGCTACTTTTGTCAGGTATGTACACTGTTCCTCCCATTTATACATTCATTCATTCCAGTATTTATCGAACACCTAACCATGTGCCAGACACTCTACTCTAGAATAAGAAGTGAAGACACTATTTCTGCCCTTTGTGAAGTCTGGAACCTAGAGAAGGAGACAGACATTAAAGAAATAATTACACATAGCAAGTATTTAATTTTCGTGGTGAGAAGCATTACCATGGCAAAGTACGGGGATCCATTGAAATGTGTAACCAAGGGACCTGAACTCAGATATCTGGGGAACCAAGATATCTCCTCTGAGAAGACAGAGGAGGAGTAGGAAAGAGCTGAGAGAGCGGTTCTTAAATTGCCTAGCCCACCTGCTAACCTATGTTGTCCAAATGCTGGAGATAAACGGATCAGAAGATAAAGGTAAATTCATTTTTAGTATTTAGATTTTCTATCTGTAATTGCTTTCTGTGTTAGGGTGTCACCAAAGAAACATTCATTCACTCCTTAAAAGCCAGTTTTGCTAAAGGCCACATTTATATTTGTGATAATCACATACACACAAGAGAGTCCACACTATAATAGTTGGATTGGTAAAAAATTGGATGGCTGAGCAGAATAATGCTAGTCATGTTTTTAATAAGAAAAACAAACAAACACTAGGTATTATTTGTTAAAACTGTGTGCATGTTTATGTAAAATTCAGGATGTTTATAGACGACACTTTATACAGAGCATCCCATATTCTACACAGTTTGCTTTCAAACAAGTAAAAGAAATATCCATCTGGATATTCTCTATTTGCTTCCTGGACTGAAAGCCCTTGTTCCACGTTGTTTCCATTAAAAACTAGGCACCTGGCAACAATGAAAACAACTCGGCGCACTTACCTTGGGCTCCTCAATCTGGAGTGTGATTATAAATTCAATTTTTGGTGGCAACGCCTCCCTTGTGCCTTCCAAATATCTCTTTATAGTCGTCAGAACATTTACATCTTCAAGTTTCACTTCTCCTTGGTTAGGAAACATAGAAAACAGCATTTCCATCTCCAGCAGCTGAAGCTGCAGGCACTCTTTCATAGAAGCGGAGGACATATTGCCTTGAAATCAACCTGCCAGGAAAACTGGAAAGGCCCAGGGACACTGGTTTGTCAGTCAGCAGTGCCCAAAGACATTTCCCGAAGGTCCCTTTGCGTGGAAGCAGTTTTCAGGAACGCTAGGCACTGAGAACTAGGGGCACAAACCAGGACACTTAAACTCTTCTGCTTTATCTCCTGGACCCCAAAATCTAGTAAGCACAACATCGCCCAAGATATTTCATTAAAATTCAGACTCTTAGTCCCTTTCCCCACCCCCGCTTCCGATCTAGATCCAAGAATGTGGACTTTCATCAAATGTTCCGAATTACTCCGTTGCAGGTGGTTGGCAAACACCTGCAAACAATCTTCAAGCCCAATTCTAAGGCAAGGGGCCCAGCATCAGAGCCCTCCCAGGTCTCTGGCTTGGGCCGAGCTGGACGCTGCCGGGTGGGAGCCCCGCAGTGTCGGTGGGCGGAGCTTTGGTTCCCTGGCTCGGGGTCTCAGGGCCCCACCGCCGCCAACGCCAGTAGTCGCCCCTAGGTCCCAGCACTAAGCATCCCACCCGGGTGTGCCTTTCCACCTCTCCCGAGAGCCAACCGGCCCGGGCGGCATCATGAGAGCTCCGAACGATTCCGATCCATTTGCTTCTGCCCAGAGGGACCCAGGTTTGGGGGGGGGGTCCACAATTATAAAATGAGGTTTAGTGTCAACAGGGGCGGAGATGGGGCGGGGGCCCAAGGAGGCTTCCCGGAATCAAAGGTTTGGGAGATGAACCTGGAGGAAGGAGAAGCGGATGCGGGAGATCGGGTAGCGCTCACTATGGATGAAGCCACCTTGTCAGAGGCCCCAAATCTAGGCGGACATCCCCCTTCCAGGACCCTAGAATCCCCAGCTTCCCAAGAACACATCTGCCACCCCCAGACCTAAATTTGGAGACGGGGCTGGGTCTGTTCCGGTCGCAGTGCTCGAACGGCCCGCGACCCTCGGCTCCAATCCCCGGGCCACGCGGAGGCCTCACCCTTTCTGGTCATTGAAGGGAAACAGCCCCAAGCCCGCTCAGACCCCGGATCCGCAGTTCCCGCAGGCGCGAGCTGCGCGCGACCCGCGAGCAGGCGGGGCGGGGCCAGCGAACCCTCCCCTACCTTGATTGGCTGGGGGGCGTGGCAACAGGCCGGAAGCCACGCAGAGACACGTCTGCGGGTTCCGCGAGCTCCTGCCTAGTACCGGCGCCAGCGTGTAGCAGTTTCTCCGCACGCGCCAGGTGCAGGTGAGGGCGAGCCTTCTGGCGGAGGTGAGGGGAGCCCCGAGGCTTGGCCGCGAAAGAGGCCGTTCCGGTTAGGCAGGCCCACGGGCTGGTGGGTAAGCTAACGGACCGACCGACCGACCGCCCGCGCGCGGGACACACCTACCGCCCCTGCGCCGGGGGAGCGAGCTGGTGGGCCGGCCTGAGGGTCTCGTGCTGGGCGGGCCCGTCCGCCGGCCGGGGGGGTCTCGGGGTTTCGGGGTCTCGGGATCTCGGGGCTCGGGCTGGGAGGAGATGGGAACAGAGGAGGTTTTGAGGGTGGAATGGAAGAGAGGGGGACACTTAACTTTTTCCAGAGTGGACACTGTGCACTTCGAAATGCTTCTAATCAAAGCGTTTATGTACCCATTGAAAGGCGTTTCGGCACCTAAAACGCATTAAGGGTTGGACGCATTTTTAAAAAAAAGGAAAAAGAAAAAAAGCCCTGGACTTAACAGGGCTGGTTTACACCCTATGACTAATCATGATACATTATTCACTGGTCAGTGTCTAAGAAAATGTGTTCATGCTTGTGGAAGAGAACTTGGACCGGACTAAGTTAGCTTGCCGAATGCCAGCTTTTTCCAACTGAACAAAAGCAAACATTTTTTACCTTTTCCTTTAACTTTCGTCCGTTGAAGCAATTAAGGACAGTAGAAATCTTAATACAGGCATACCTGATTTTATAGCAATTAGCTTTATTGCGCGTCACAATGTGTAATTTACAAATTGAAGGCAAGACCCTTCACCAGCAAAAAGATTGCCTGGCTTTATTGCAATACTTGTTTATTGCTATCGCCTGGAACCAGACCCGCAATATCCACCAGGTATGCCTGTGGTGAGGCTGGGAGCTGTGGGACCGCTGCTCATCTCCTGGCTGCTAACTGGAAGTGGGACTGACCCAGGAAGTAGTAGTACAATTGAGGTGGGAAGCCCCAAGTTCCACTTAAAATTGGAGTATTCCAGAGAAGGAATTGGTGGAGTGGACTAAGTAAGGCTAGAGGGCTAAGGTCGATGTTTGCATTTTTTTAAATTAAAGGTGAAAGGTATTGCTAGTTTCAGAGTTTTATTTCTTTTTTTAGTTAAATCCTCACCCAAGGATAGGTTCATTGATTTTAGGAGGGCGAGGAGGAGGGAGAGAAACATCTATGTGAGAGAGAAACATGGATTGGTACCTCCCATTCTCACTCCCACTGGAGATCAAACCCAAAGCCTGGGTATGTAGGTGCCCTGACTAGAATTGAACCCCCAAGGTTTTTTTTGTGTGTGTGATGATGCTCCAACCAATGGAACCACCTGGCTGGGCCAGAGCTTAATTTAGAAGTGTGTCCTGATCCTCCCTTTTGAAAATAGAAAAATACCCTGGTAGGTAGAGAGGAATGATACTGTTACTCTTTGTTTTCCATCTGGGAATAGGTCTCTGCAGGTTGGGAAGAATTGTAAAAAAACTACACAGCTTTCTCAGATATTTTTGATATGTAGGTCCAGTCCCTTTGAGAATATGACCTTAGGCTTCAGTGTCATGTAAACTTAGCTTATTTAACTGAGGCCCAGGCTTAAGCTGTTTCCCTTGTAAAATGAGGTCTTTGATCTCAAAGGAGTCTCTGAATCATTATTTTAGTTGAGAGTGGACTGTTTTAAATATACCCCAGGTCCAGGGATACCCCTGGAGCTAAAAATGGGAGATGAGTTGGAGATAATCTGATCTCTGCCCTGGAATGGAAAATGTATGTGGGGCAAGATTTTCTGTGTAATACTAACTCCCAGGACTTGTTCTATCATTATTTTCTCTGTAATAATGGTTCTTTGGGGAGTTTCAAAATGAGGCATGCTTATTGTTTTGGGGTGGCAGTTTTTGAAGCAAATGGTCCTTGAAAAATTTCTTAATATGCCTGAAAAATTTCCTTAATTTTGTAGACATGGATTTAGATGCTATTACCAAATACTCAGCATTACATGCCAAGCCCGTTGGACTCACTCTTCAATATGGGACTGCTGGATTTCGAACGAAAGCAGAACATCTTGATCATGTCATGTTTCGCATGGGATTATTAGCTGTTCTGAGGTCAAAACAGACAAAATCTACAATAGGAGTCATGGTAACAGCGTCACATAATCCCGAGGTAATGCATTTAGTGTTCTGATAAATCAAACCTTTATTTACAAGACCGAACCTTAATGTGTCTGAGCAGTTTGACTCAACATACAAATTCTAACTCTAGGATTGGGCCTTCTCGTTGTTTTGTGCCTTTGGGTTTGAAACAACTTTTACTTAATGAGTAGTCATTTAACTCATGACTCTTTAGACGGTGTGGAGAGAATGAAATGAGACTGTCATTTTTTGGGGGTGTCCATATTAGAGAAATAACAATGTCCTTCCAAATTATTTGTATTGTCATAGTATCAGTAATACAAAGTTTTACCTCTTTAAATTTAGAAGAAATTAAAGAGATTGGAGGCAAGATAGGGGAAAGGCAAACATTTGCAAAAATTTAGCATATTTTGAAAAATTTCAGACATATTTTTTTATAGCTAGGGAATAGTTTCCTATGCTGGAGAAACAGCCAAACAGGAGGCTCCAGGGGTCTGAAAGTGAGCTTTGGACAAAGTGTTGATGAGGTTGATGGTGTTTTTGGTGTTTATTGCAGGTTTTTTTTTTTATCCTCACCTGAGGACATTTTTCCATTTTTTGTACAGATAGAGTGGGAGGGAGAGAGAGGAAGAGAGAGAGAGAGAGAGAAACATCGACGTGAAAGGGACACATTGAGTGGCTGCCACCCACACGACCAACCAGGGCCGGGGACAAACTGCAACCGAAGTACGTGCCCTTAGCGGGAACCGAACCCGGGTCTCTCCGGACCACAGGCCGACACTCTAACCGCTGAGCCAAACCGGCCAGGGCTATTGCAGTTTTTTAATCAAAGTATTCCTTTTGACACAACTAGACTATTTTCTTCTGTAACCTGCGAATACAGGGTGGAACAAAAGGAGGTTTACAAGGGTTATAACCTCTCCCCCCAAATAAGAAGACTTTGCTTATCCAACTTCTAAATGTTCATCACTATAAATGCATAAGTGTCCAAATGTCTAAATCACTGCAATTGATTAATGACTTGTAGGCAGAACCTCACATTAATTGCTAGTTCAGAAGCATTTCTTAAAACAGTTCTGAGCTGTTTCCTGCAGTGACGTTCACTCTAAACTACACTTTTTTTCCAGAAATCTGAGCAGAACAGAATTAGGAATCAGTTTTCAGCTTCTTTGTCACCCATTGGTTACACGCTGGCCAGGACATGCTTATAATCTGGAGTCAGAGTGAAGCTTCTCTAGGTGCCCTCATTCTGCCCCAGCTGTGCCCTACTCAGTTAACTCATGGTTAATGCACAGATGGCGGCCTTTTAAAGTTAGTCTAGTCTGTTGGGTGTTGGGTGTGAGAGGCAGATGGACTTAATGTTTTGGGGCTTTTTTCATTTTTTGTTTTTTTTAATCTTCACCTGAGGATATTTTTTCCATTGATTTTAGAAAGAGTGGAAGGGAGGGAGTTAGGGGGAGAGAGAGAAAGAGTGAAAGAAAAACATTGGTGTGAGAGAGACATGGATTGGTTGCCTCTTGCATGTACCCTGGCCGGGGCTGGAGATCAAACCTGCAACCCAGGTACATGCCCTTGACCAGGAATGAAACCTGTGACCCTTTGGTGCAAAGGCTGGTGCTCTAACCATTGAGCAACACTGGCCAGGGCTGGACTTAATGTTTTAATGTCAGCACTAATACTTCTTAGCTGTATGAACATAAGCAAATAACTTGATCTGAATCTTTGTTTTCTCAGATTGGAGTAATAATAGGATTTTACACTGGTACGTGGGGTTGTGAGGATTTACTGAGCTAATGTGTATAAACACCTACTCTAGTGCTTGGAATTCAATAGGGGTCACTGGGGAAGCTGCTCAGCCATCCCTGTCTGTTGTTGGGGGAAAACAGCTTGAGTTTACTTCCTCAGCTCACCTTTTGAATATGCACAGATGGCTTATTGTTTTTCTTTTAAGGAAGACAATGGTGTCAAATTGGTTGATCCTTTGGGTGAAATGCTGGCACCTTCCTGGGAGGAGCATGCTACCTGTTTGGCAAATGCTGAGGAACAAGATGTGCAGAGAGTGCTGCTGGGCATCAGTGAGAAAGCTGTGGTGGATCTGCAGCAGGACGCCTTCGTGGTGATCGGTAGAGATACCAGGTGACCATCCAGTAGTGGTGAAAGCAGCCTTGGGAACTCCGTATAAGTGATTGTATCAGTTTTAGTACCCATGGCAAACTGAAAGAAAGTAATACTGCCCTGAGAGGCTTCTCCCCTCCCTGACCTTAGTAGGAGGATGCAGGAACTACGTCACCAATGCAGCTTGGATTTTTGAGTCTGAACACCATCAGTAAAATATTGATGATAAGGCCTAATACAAGGTTTTTGGGAGAATTACTGAAATAATGTAGGCAAAATATGTAATTCCTGGCATGAGAGAAGCACTTAACAGATGCCTCTCACCCCTGTACTTCTAGGTTTACTTTTTTCCCTTGTACATTAAGAACACATAATTTTGCCTTGTTGTTTTTAGAAATTTACTTTATAATCTGTGCTGTTGGTTCATATATTTATGTTACTTTTTCATGCTGAAATTCAGTGTACAATATTAACAGTTTATTTCTATAAATTTGTCATATTTGACAGCTTTTGCCTTCCTTTACGAGAACATATTTTTGCAAAACATTAGATTAAAAGTGTACTTTGAAGCAGAAGCCTTTTTTATGAATAAGATCTGGTTTTAGCCAGAGATGCTTTCTAAAGGAAGTTTTTCCTCAATCTCTTGATGCCTTGGACTGGTGTTTTACCCTTAAATGTGGTATCAGAGGGACTTCCAAACACCACTGAGTCCATGATCACTGGTACTCACAGGAACAAGAAACAGCCAAGTGACTTATGTTCTGAAGCAAATTATCTCACAATAAAACCATCCTACATATATTTGCTTCTTACCTGTTAACCAGTTTAAATAATATAGAACATCTCTTTCTATGAGGCATTTATTTTGTGATATGCTTTATTTTCAGGTAGGTGGAGAATTTGTTCTGATATTTTAAGATGAAAAATGAGTTCTACATCCTTGGTGGTTTAATACCCGGTACTGCACTATACACACTGTACATTATTAGTTACTGTTCTGAGGCAGTATGTGTAGTTATTGTCAAACTCAAAAAGGTATTTGGGTATGGTGCAATTAGTTCATTCTTTATATCTATTTTCTAAATTAATTTAAAAGCCAGTATCTTTCCAAGAAATAACATTGTTAAAGACTACTTACACTTTACCCAAATTATTTTTTCAGAATTTTTATACTTGATAGGATCCAATTCAAATACAATGAACTTATTCTGACATTTGTAGCACATGCTTTCAGCATTTGCTTTCAGAACTAGCAACCCTGTTGGCTTCTGGATGGGATACATTATTTTTTTCCTTTTCTCTCCTAGGCCCAGCAGTGAGAAACTTGCACAGTCTGTGATAGATGGCATCACTGTTTTAGGAGGTCAATTTCATGGTATGTACTTATCCTGAGATGTGAATTAAATTAATCTTTAAAAAACTTTTTAAAAAGTAACACATATTATTTTAGAAAGGTCTAAAAATACAGATAAATACAGTTTTTAAAAAATGAACTTCTAGGTACAAACCACTAGCTTTTAAAATTAAAAACATTAAATTTTTTTCTGGGCATGCATATTATGTTTTATGTATACATTATATGTAGGAAATGCTGAGCTTAACTTTCTTTACATTATGGCTGAATTTCTTGATATAAAACTTCTTGAAGTTACTTGAAGAAGTCCATTCTGGGAGTTTTTGCCAATATCAGGTACTCCCTAATAGCTGATTATGTATGGAGTCAGCTGTTGCCTGTCATAAAGTGATGGAAAATATCTTTGGTCTACTTGTAATCCTGATGTTCAGTTTTGACAAGTTTTTTTCCCCCTATTTTAACTAGTGAAGAAGTATTGAATGCAACACAAGGGAGGCTAGAATCCTCTTCTTACTTAGGTTGTGCCCTTATGAATCCAGTGACCCCACTGTGCTTAGACGTGAATTTTCCTAGTGTTAGATCTTTCTCATTTAAACTTTTCTTCCCTTGACCTTTTCAACCTCCTTCCCAGGTCCTGTGTCTTCCTTCACAGTTATTCTGGCCTCTTCAGTAGTGCACCTGGCTTGCTTCTCTCTGCTCCTCTGGTCATAACTTAGCCTGCTACAGGCCAGTCCCCATCCTTGCCTCTCCTGACATTCAGCTGAATTCTAATCGCCAAACCCAGTGGCTGTTATAAAAGTGGGGATTCTTAACCTGGGCCTGGGGCGTGTTTGGTTAAGCTGCAGGGAGCCTGTGACCCTGTTCATACATTGTGCCAAGTGTTCTTGGCACACACACACTTGGTTTCTAGGGAGAGGATTCATAGCTTTTGTGAGATCTGCAGAAAGATCTGTGACCTAAAAATAATTTTCAGAATTTATATTTTGAAATTTTTATTTCAGTCTGATGCTTGGTAGCTGTCCATACTATGACCTTCCTCTCTTTGGCTACTGTTCCTTATTGGTCTTTTCTCTGGGCTCCTCTTACCTCTTTTAACATGTCCATTCCTTACTCATCTCTCTCTCTCTGCCTGAGGTCTGAGTGATCATCTCGACTGCCATAGTTCCAGCTATGTGTATTTTTTTATTTACTCATTTGTTCATTCTTCAAACATTTCTGAATGCCTGTTATGTGCAGCACTCCAGTAGTCTATTAACTGCATATCACAACCCATAGTAGGAAACCCATTTTGTATCAAGATGTGTGTATGTTGCTTGTGTGTATAACTGAAATTAAAGTTTCATTACATAGTATTTACCCACATGATATACATTCACCTGTTTCATTAGAAAATACATGTGCTGGTGTATCTAAGTGGATTCCATGACCCACTGATGCCTTAGCTGCAGTTTGTAAAGCGTTGGTCTGAATGATGCCCCCATGAGGTGGCCGCCCTGCTCTACATTCACTCTGCCCACAGCTGTATTCTTTTTACCATCCCAAGAATGGTTATTTTCAACACTTTGATTATATCTCTAGACCGTCACCTTTTTACTGTTTTAGTTGAGAAAAATTTGAGTGCTTTTTTTTTAACCTTCCCTTCATTTCTCTCTTCAGCTTGAGTGTATTTCAGGAAACAAAAGAAGATCAGTGGACTGCAGCACAGGGAGAATGGGGGGAGCTGGGGGCAGATAAGAAGAGGGAGGGAGGCAGGGGCCAAGTCACTCTAAGCCTTATAATCATCGTAAGGATTTCAGTTTTATTCCAAATGCAGCAGGACTCCACTGAAGGATTTTGTGCATGAGAATATATGATCACGTTTTCATTTTAAGCCAGTTACTTTGGCTGTTGTGCAGAGAGAGGGAAGTTGTAAGAAAGGAAAGGAGCCCAGCTGGGAGACTGTGCAGTAGTTCATGCAAGAGTGATGCTAGAGAAATGGGAAAAATTGATTTAATACTTAATTTAAAGGATTTTGTGATGTAATCAGGCAGAGCTGTTAGAATGGTTTCCATGTTTCTGGGGTGATCAGTGAAAGATGGTTATGATTTTTATTTTATTTTCGAATAACTGTATATAGTCATTTAGGGAATATTTATTTGGTAATTTTGATATTGGTTACAAAATTTGTTTCGTCCTTTAGTATGTCTTTTGGAATAATGTTTTCCTCTCCTTGTACAGTTCAATTGAGCTAGTCTAAGCTTTTACTTACTTTCTTGAGTCCCTTCATTTCCTCTCGTCTAATCCTTGTGTCAGAGCCAAAGTTGTCTTCATAAAAGATCAGTTCTGTTTAACCGCAGGGCTCAGCAACTAAACTGCCTCCAGTGCATATACTGTAGGGCATGACTTTGAAGACTGATGACAGATTTAGTCATTGAATATTTATTGGATACTAGTCCATTTCTATTATTTATTTCTCCTGTTCCTTGCTCAGGGCACTTTTTATGTGTTTAGATATTTGACTGTAAGCTGTTTTCTTTTTCTTGAAAAATTATTTGTGGGACATTTTTGAGGTTTGTGATGAAGGTAACTTTGCTTCTGCTGGGAGCACTACCTGGCTGGTTGATGACACGGTTCTTTGATGACGGTTTCTTTTAGACCCGCCTGGTTGTGGGAATTTGGGCTGGAATCTGGGAGGCCTGTGCTTGTGGTTATAGATTTTCAGCTGTGGGTTTTTCCCTCTGCTGTGCTGAGTTCCAAGACAGCTTTCCTGGGAGGGGACTTTCGATTCACTTTTTTTTTTTTTTTTAATCCTCACCCAAGGATAAGTTTATTGATTTGAGAGAGAAAGAGACAGAGACAGAGACAGAGACAGAGACAGACATGAATGTAAGAGAGAAACTGATTGGCTATCTCTACACACCTGACCGAGAATCGAACCTGCAGCCTTTCTGCTGGTGTGCTGAGCCACCCAGCTGGGCTCGACTCCCATTTGATTCACTTTTGTCTCACGCACTAAAGAATAGTCCTTTGGAGCCTCAGCTTCATGAGGACGTGTCTTCTACTGGGTTGCCCATCTTAGACCAACGTGGACTTTTTTCACTGGGAACCATAGCTCATTTTCAAGTTTTGAGGACTGCCCAGAGAAGAAAACTAGTTTCCTTCTCTTCAGGCTTGGAGTCCCTCTGTTTACATAGAGTTTGGCCTACTTCCTCTGCAACTTGTTGACACTGCAGTTCTTCTTAAAAAGATTTTTTAATGTAGAATTTTTGGTTGGTTGTGGGAGTATTCATCTGAATTATGTAATTTGCAATATTACTAGAAATATCACTCAATTCATACTTTTCTGTACTGCTGTTTTATTGTTAATTGTCTATACTGAGTGATTGTTTTTTGCTACCAATAGTAGTTCATATTTCTTTTAGAATTGAGTTTGTGTCCAAAGTGTATTTCTTCTAACACTACCAAGTAGTTAACTCAATTCTGACACTATCTGCCTGGAGGTAATGCCGGGTCCTAGCCCAGTCCCATAAGACTGCTATCCCAGCCCTGGCCGGTTGGCCTGTGGTCCAGAGAGACCCGGGTTCGGTTCCCGCTAGGGGCGCGTACCTTGGTTGCAGCTTGTTCCCGGCCCTGGTTGGTTGTGCGGGTGGCAGCCACTCGATGTGTCCCTTTCACGTCGATGTTTCTCTCTCTGTTTTCCTCTCTCTCTCCCACTCTACCTGAACAAAAAATGGAAAAATGTCCTCGAGTGAGGATAAAAAAAAAGACTGTCATTCCTCCACCCACTTCATATACCATCACCTGGGCTTCTGACCAATCTGGAGGTTCCCACACCCCCTCCTTGCGTTGGGTTAATTTGCAACAGTAGCTCACAGAGCTCAGAAGCATTTTGCTTACTAGGTTACCTATTAATTATAAAGGATTTAATTTGGGAACAGCTAGGTTGAAGGGATGCATAGGGCAAGGTGTGTGGAATGGGGCTCAGACGTCCTTGCTCTCTGAGCATGCCCTCCCCAATCTCCACATGTTCACCAACCCAGAGCCCTGCCCTTGGGGTCTTTTGGGTTTTTACATTAGATAGGATTCATTGCATAGGCATGAGTGATTAAATCATTGGCCATTGGTGATTAAGCTCAATCTCTAGCTTCCCTCCCTGGAGCTGGGGTGGGTGGCTGAACGTGCCATCCCTTTCATCATGATTGGTTCCCCTGGCAATCAGCCCTCTTGCTTAGGTTACTGAGGGCTTTCCAAATGTCACCTTTTTAACCTGACGAAAGATATCTTATTGCTCTTGTGGCTTAAGAAATTCCACAGGGTTAGAAGCTCTGTCAGGAATGGGAACAAAGACTAATATATATTTCTTACTATAAATAACAGTATAACAATGTGACTTGCACTTGTGATTTCAGTGGATATTTGTGCTGTTTAAAGCTAGCATTGTGTGTTTTCTGAGATGTCTTTTGTCACCTGCAATTCCTACAGTATGAATCTGCTTAAACTTTTTTCTTTATTAAGAAATGTGTGAATTGCTCTCTGTGCTTCTGTGACAGACTACGGCTTGGTGACGACGCCGCAGCTGCACTACATGGTGTACTGTAGGAACACCCATGGCCAGTACGGAAAGGCCACCACAGAAGGTTACTACCAGAAGCTCTCCAAGGCTTTTGTGGAGCTTACCAAACAGGTGAACACTTGAATGTGATTGGAGTTCAAACAAGTGAATAAAAGGATATCATTAAACAATCTATTGTAACTACTTAGTTTGTTACTCCTCGTTTTTCCAAAAATTCAGTATATGGTTTTCTTTCCAGAACTACATAGGATCTGGCCCTTGTATTCTAATTGTGTGTTGGCATTTTCTTGGCAAGGCATGTCATTAATCCTGAGATCACTGGGGGAAACAAACATGGTGGAGTTCTTGGGGTTATAAGTATTCATTTAGATGAATTTACTCCTGTTTTATTGTTGTTAATATGTTTTATTGAATTTTTTAGGGAGAGAGGAAGAGAGAGATAGAAACATTGATGTGAGAGAGAAACATCAATTGGCTGCCTCCTGCACATCCCCTACTGGGGATGGAGCCTGAAACCCGGGCATGTGCCCTGACCAGGAATCAAACCGGGAGCTCTCAGTCCATGAGATGATGCTCAATCCACTGAGCCACGCCAGCTGGGCCAGATGAACTTACTCTTAAGCAAGGAGGTGCTATTGGCATCACATTTGAGGCATCTGCTGTGGAAATTTTCTTGATACAGATATTGGCTTGTTAAACCTGGATGAGATTTGAAGAGTATAATTCATTTGATCAACAAATATTGAGTGTTATGTTATTGTCAGGCACAGTAAACCAAAACAAAGCCCTTGCTCTCATAGAATTTATATTTTGGGTTGAGGATGGGAAGGAGAGGAGACTGATAATTTTAAAAAAGAAACAAAAATGCCTAGTGGGGCCGGGCTGGTGTGGCTCAGCGGTTGAGCGTCGACTCATGCTCCAAGAAGTCGTCAGTTTGATTCCTGGTCAGGGCACATGCCCAGGTTGTGGGTCAAATCCCCAGTGGGGGGCATGCAGGAGGTGGCCAGTTGATGTTCTCTCTCATCGATATTCTGTCTCCATCTCCCTTCCTCTCTCTCTCAAATCAATAAAGAAAAAAAATTTTTTTAAAAATGCCTAGTGGGGTTATATTCTGTGAAGAGAATGACAGATGTTTTTACTGCTCATTCATCCATATGCTCATTCCCACATTTGGAAGACTCATGTAATATAGACTATAATATTATTTTTAAGGGACTTTGCTTAATTGAGGCTAATTCTAATAAAGGTTGGCCAAAAAAAAAAAAAAAAAAATCTGAGATGTTAGATTCTAAATTAAATTACAATGCCCAGAGAGCGAGACAGAATGGTTAGCCTGTTAATAGCTGTGGACCAGCTAACAAAAGGCTGCCCACATTCATGTGTGTCTGTTGGAACTTCGGATTAATTTCCAGGTGCTATGTCTGATTATTCTAAAGAGAGAACAGCCTGGAGTCTTCAAACCCTGGGAGCCTCTGCATCTGATTTGCACATGAACTTCCCAGACTTGACCACAACCTATCCAAGGGAGCACACACTTCTTATTTGGACTCTGGACCTATCCGGAACTGGCCCGCTTCACCTTCTCCCATCCCCTTTGTCTCTAGCTAATGTAGATCCTTTCAGAACAGCTTCCATCTTTCTCCCCCGCATGTGATGAATAAAAACACTTGCAAAGCTCTGGGATGGTGCTGTCATGTCTGTCTGTCCTGTCTGGCTATGCTGCTGGGGTTTTAGACTCCATGCCCTGAGACCAGTCATCTTCTTTCTGGCAATGGCCTAATAAACCCTTTTAGAACGACTTTTAGCTATGAAAATAAATTTTTTTTAACAAGCTCCATTTCCATAAGTCATTTAATCAGTAACCATTCCAGTGTCAGAGTGTTAAAAAAAAAAAGGGTATTTTAAAATTTTACTTTGATGTGTTATGATTTTCATTTGAACATATGTACCCTTTTGTTTTTTGGTTTAAAATAGATGAGCTAACAAATAATGGAAGATCTTTACATATACATATGCATGCTTTATGCCTCACTCTTACCTTTAGAACTTGAATTTTTCCTTCCCTTGTCTTTTTGTTTAAGGCTTTCTGCGGGGGAGGTGAAGATCGACCACTTAAGGTTGACTGTGCAAATGGCATCGGGGCCCTGAAGCTGAGAGAAATGGAAAACTACTTCTCCCAGGGGCTGTCAGTGCAGCTATTTAATGTTGGGACCACAGGGAAACTCAATCATTTGTGTGGGGCTGACTTTGTGAAAAGTCATCAGAAACCTCCACAAGGTATGTACTGTAAACAGTTTGTTTCTAGAGTTTTGAAAGTAGTTTCATTTACAAGCAGAAGTGGCTGAGTGAGGGGTCATGCAGATGGTCGGGGCATCATCAGTGCCATTCAGAGCATGGACTGCTCTCTGCCTGTGAGTCCCAGGACTCCTCACGGCATGTGGGAAATCTGGTGGGAAAGCCCTGGCCAGCGTGGCCCAGCAGTTAGAGCGTTGGCCCGCGGACTGGGTTGCAGGTTCTGTCCCCGGCCATGGTCAGGATCGTTCAGGAGGCAACCAATCGATGTGTTTCTTTCACATCAGTGCTTCTCTCCCTCCCTTCCACTCTGTCTAAATATCAACGGGAAAATACCTTCAGGTGAGGACTAACAAAAAAAATAGAAATTGGCATTCTAGAGGGCTTAGCACACAGGTTCCTGGGCTCCACTGCAGTTTTTTTGAATCTGTAGGTCTGGGCTAGGGTTTGTAGAGGACAGGAATTTGCATTTCTGTCAAGTGCCCATGGTTTTTTGATGGTGCTGGTCTGGGGATCGCACTTTGAGAATCACTGATCTAAAGGATAGCAATAGTTAAGGAGCATGATTTTTTTCCTTCTTGAATTAGACGCACTATGCAAAGAGAATGCAACTGCTAAAATGTAAGTGTCTCCAAAATCAGTGTTTTCCACAGCGGGCAGGTTAGGAGGAAGACTGTTCTTCAGATTGTAGTGTCCTAAGAGGTGCTCTATATTTAGCTGCATTATAGGTTTGAAATTGTTAGCCTGGCTTGCACATGTATTTTGTTTGGTCTGTTATGTGTGTGTCTGTGTGTTCAATTGCATTAGTTGCCACCATTCATTTTTATTATTTATTTATTAATTTTAGAGAAGGGAAGAAAGTGAAACATCAATTTGTTGTTCCACTTATTTATGCACTAATTGGTTGATTTTTGTATGTGCCCTGACTGGGGATGGAACTCTCAACTTTGGTGTATTGGGATGATGCTCTAACTGAGCTACCCAGCCAGGGCCAGTTGTCACCATTTAAAAATGCTTTGATTTCACTAAATATTGGAATCTGGCTTCTCTTTATCAGAATTAGAAAATGTCTATTCTATGTCACGTTAACTGGCTGCAGGGAGTAGCTCCACCCCTCAGACAGGACATGCGCTCTTCAGAACTCTACAGATCTCATCCACTTGCTTCTTTCAATGACATTACTTTCTGCCTAAATGTAATAACCATTCAAATTTTTAGTTTAATGAACGAACTTTTAAGCTCCTTTTCACTGACTTGCTAGTTTTGACTGTTAAGCTACTGGCAGTTCAGTTCTCAGTCCCTGATCTATCCATTCCCTAAATCATGAGCTCTTTTTCTCTTGCTGTAGGTACTATGACTACTGAATGAACAAAACCACAGGCCCTGGCTTTCTTGAAGCTTGTGTTGTACCCTGTAGTCAGCCTTACACTCATATTCCAGACAAACACCTTTCACTGCCTAGTTGCCTCATGTTGCATTGGCAATCTGTTGATGTCTTACATCTAATAAATTTGTAACAATTGCTGAGGTTTCAATAATTTTATGCACATTACAGAAACTAAAGGTTATAATTATGTGATTTTTGTTTGCTTATCTTCACCTGAGGATATTTTTCCATTGATTTTCAGATAGAGTGGGAGGGAGAGAGTGAGAGAGAAACATCAGTGAGAGAAAGACAAATTGATTGGTTGCCTTCTGCACGACCCCAACTGGGCCAGGGATCAAAACTGCAACCCAAGCACGTGCCCTTGACTGGAAATCAAACCCTCGAGCTGGTCCTCAGGCTGAGGCTCTGTTAAGCCAGACTGGCCAGAGCTTTTATTTTTATTTTTTTGTATTTTTTATTAATCTTCACCACAGGATATTTTTCCATTCATGTTTAGATAAAGTGGGAGGGAGGGAGAGAGAGAAACAAACATGGATGTGAGAGAGAGAGATCGACTGTTTGCCTCTGAACAACCCTGACCAGGGCCGGGGATCAAGTCTGCAACCCAGGTATGTGCTCTTGACTGGGAATCGAACTTAGGTCCTTCAGTGCACAGGTTGAGCCTAATCGACCAGGGCTAATTCTGTGTTTTAAATGACCAGTTTCTTATTATTGATGATGTGTACAAATAAAAATCACACCTATCCGAATTAAATCAAAACATTATCTCATGTATTGCTGATTATTTTTTATATGTAAAAGACAGGACTAGATAAATTGCATTCAGATATACCTGTAGCTTTCAAAAAATTATATGGGACCTGTCTTGCCAAACTTAGCTGGCTTATAAAATGGAATTTTATTTTAGCATTATGTAAAGTTTCAGCATAGAGAGATTTTGAATGCTTTTTCAGTTATCTGTGAAAGAATTTACCCTATAAAAATTGCATACTGTTTGAAGATTAAGACACTGGTTTTTATTTGGAAGGATAATTTTAGTTACTTCTTGAGTAATCATAGTGGACATACTTACATGTAACACTTAAGACCAGTTATGATCATACTTTAGTGAAAAATTTTTTCTTGTAACTAGTATAAGAAAAACACCTGAAACTTTTTATATTGAGTTGTATTCCCATTTTTCAGACTGAAATGCATTTTTAATTATTCTGTGTGCTAGGAATGGAAATGAAGTCCAATGAAAGATGCTGTTCCTTTGATGGAGATGCAGACAGAATTGTTTATTACTACTATGATACAGATGGCCACTTTCACCTCATAGATGGAGACAAGATAGCAGCACTCATTAGCAGTTTCCTTAAGGAGCTCCTGTTGGAGGTATGATGGGACGTGGTGACCACCCTTTAAAACAAGGCTTACTGGTGAAGTAGCTCTACAGCAGTCAGCTGAGCATCTCACAGGCACAATTTACAGGAAGTTCCTTACATTTGTGGCAGGAAAATACAAAAAGAAATGGTAATTCTAGTCACTTTAACTTTGGGGAACTGGTTTTGGAATCTGAAGTTACTCTTTTTTCCTTATACTGGCAAAGTTTTATGATTTGAAGCTTTATGAAGTTTCGGTTTCTTCATAATTGACACTTTAATAAAAGCCTCACTTTAAACAAAATCTAATCATCTGAGAGATTTGTTTTGCTGTTTTGGAAATCTCAGGCTAGCCATTCAGGATGTAATGGGAAGTAATTATTATGATCTGGAAAAGGTATACTTCAAGAATTTTATGAATACTTTTATTAAAAAACTAGAGGTAAAGATCAGGAAAACACAGGCTGCTTTAAAAGGTTTCCTGGTAGAATTGTTTTAGATAATGCCCACAAGTATTTTAGCTTTTTTCTGGCCTACATGTAAATTTTCATTGAGTCATTTATTGCATAACTAAAACACAGCTGAATTCATTGATGACTTTTTATCCTTCTGAACTTGTGTTTGCTTTTGATGTATGTTTACTTTTGATGCAAGGTCATTGTCATTGTTTTTGCCTAGATTGGAGAAAGTTTGAATATTGGTGTTATACAAACTGCTTATGCAAATGGAAGTTCTACACGGTATCTTGAAGAAGTTATGAAGGTATTGAACCATTTCCGTTTTCTGGTAGTTTCTTAATTATATTCTATTGTAAGATATTTCTGTGAGGAAAAAAATACCCTCATAAAAGTGAACAAGTTGTAGTGTGTGAAGCTGAGCGTTTGTCCATGTAAGAGTAAATAGAAATCAAAAGAAAAAATTGAACTTCCTAATGTAAAAAGACTTTCTGTCTTTGCAATCTCTTAGCAGAGTGCCTGTGACATATGCCACAAGTCTGGCATAATGCTCATTCCGTAATAAAACTGCTTTCTGACTCTTTTTTGGTGGAGGAGGTTTCTGGGTTGGTAGGTTTGGCCTGTATCCTCACGTCCGCCCTCTTTTATCACAAGCTCTAACCAAGCTAGAGTTCATGGCCAAATTGTTTTGTTTGCTTTTACTCTTTTTCTCACTAGCTACTGCAATATTTCCTAACTTTTGTGTATCTCTTTTTGAATTCTTGCATTTTGCTAGTTATTTTTGCCGTCCCATTCGTATTGAAGCAGGAATGGCAGTCAGATTCCTGTGGGATCTGGGTAGCTGAGGTGAATGAGCCCAGCAGACAGGTGAGGACCAGGGAGAATGTGCCCAAGCCAGCTGGAGGAGCTGGACACAGGAATGTTCATGTGCAGTTCCTACTTTTTAAGTTTTGGCAACTGATTTAAATGTAAAAAGAGTGGGTAGGCCACAGTAAAACACCCCTGAAGGCTGGAGTTTGTGACCTGATTTAAGGGTGGGGCAAAAGTAGGTTGTGAGTACGCATAAAACAGACTTTTTTCTTGTTTTGTTGTTTATTAACTACTGTATTATTTTCCAAATGAACAACTGTAAACCTCCTTTTGCCCCACCCTATATATGGTGACAGTCAAGGTACTCAAGGGACTCCTGTCTGGGGCCCACTTGGCTGCTTTTCATGGGGATTTTCAGTCCTCAGGTAGTTATTTTAGTATTTTAATTCCTATTTTCTGTCTTAAAAATTTTATAGGTAAGGTACCCTGTTTAAGAAACTGAATACAGCCCTGGCCCATTTGGCTCAGTGGATAGAGCACTGGCCCCAGGATCAAAGAGTCACGGGTTCGATTCCAGTCAAGGGCACGGACTTTGGTTGTGGTTCGTCCCTGGCCCTGGTTGGGGTTGTGCAGGAGGCAACCAGTCAATGTGTCCCTCTCACATCGATGTTTCTCTCTGTCTCCCTCTTGCTCTATCTGAAGATAAATGGAAAAAAATATCCTTGGGTGATAAAAGAAAGTGAATACATCAGAAACTGTTACTTTTCAACTATTTTCTAATGAATTAAATACTGGTAGCTCTTAATTGAGGCTTCCTAAATCCAATCAAATGTCAGTCTTACTTGATCTTAATATCTTTTTGGTACTTTTGCACTATCAATTTTTTCTTAACCATTTTTGTCAGATCTATTCAAGACTTTCTCTGTCCACTGGTGCTAGCCCAACCACCATAATTTCTTACTGGGATTAGTTTCTTAATGGACTCTCTAAACTGGGGATTAACAAACAGTGGCCTGGGGGCCAAATGCCACCTGTTGATCAGGTTTTATTGGAATAGAGCCATGCTCATTGGTCTTTGTACTGTCTGTGCCTGCAAAGCCTAGACTGTTCATCTGGCCCTTTATAATAAAAGCTTGCAGACCTCTGCTCTAAGCCACTCTCCATCGGTAGCTAACTGAGCTTTCAACCAGATCGTGTTACTCCTCCACTGGTCTGTAATCTTTCATTACTTTATAAGGGGACGCTCATCTCTCACCTTGCTTTTGCCTTGGCTTTGTGCTTCTAAGTGCCTTCTCTTTCCCATAGTAACTGGTTTTCATTGCTTTGTCTTCCTCACTAGATAAGGTCCAGGTTTTGTTCCCTGGGTAGTAGGTACACAACACATTTACTGACTGAATAATTCTTGTGTTTTTTAAAATGTGTTTTAGGTACCAGTCCACTGTACTAAAACTGGTGTAAAACATTTGCACCATAAGGCTCAAGAGTTTGATATTGGAGTTTATTTTGAAGCAAATGGGCATGGCACAGTAAGTTATCTTAAACAAGTAGAGCTATAGCTGGCACTTTTTTGTGATGGGAATTCTATATCTGGGTAGTAATAGACAATATGCTACTTTGTTGAAATGATTGGGATGGTAGTAGAATTTGGCTAACAATATATTTTTGTGTGTTGTGAAACTAGCTTTTTTAGATTGTATTGATCTTTCTTTGAGGGGGAAGAAATAATGCTAATGTGTTTAGAGTATAGTTTCTTATAAAAATGCATGTGTTTTTTAATAAGTAGATTGTCTATACATCATTTAAAATATTTATTTTCAACTAGCCATAGGTGTTAAAAAGTGCAGCCCGACTGGTGTGGCTCAGTGGATTGAGCGTCGTCCCATGGACGGAAAGGTCCTGTTCAATTCCTGGCCAGGGCACATGTCCGTGTTGCAGGACGATCCCCAGTGGGGATGTGCATGAGGCAGTCAGTTGATCTATCGCTCTCTCTGAAATCAATAAAAACTTTTTTTTTTTTAAGTGCAGTAGGTGTGGTAAATTGAAAAGTGTTGGCTGGCTTGAGAATGAACTAGAAAGGAGTTTAAAGTAATTAGCAATAAGAATATGATTATTTTATGGTGCTCTTAGCAGATAGAATGTTTAAAAAAGTTTTTTGAGATATAACTCACCTACTATGAAATTCACAATTTTCAAGTGTATTAGTTTACAATTTTTAAATGTTTTATACCTCACCTCATTTCATAAATGGATTTGAGGTGGCCAACACAAAGTTATCTAGGTCAAATAATTTTCCTCATGAATTTCAAAATTGGCTTTTAGAGGCAATGAATAAAAGAAGAAAAATAAGTTCTTAGAAAATACAACTAAAATATAACTTCAGTGATCTAATGTAGGGGTTGGTAAATGAATATGAAGGGCAGATAGTAAATATCTTAGGCTTCAGAGCTGTAATGTCTGTTGCAACTGGTGAACTCTGCTGGTATAGGGCAAATGAATGGGTGTGGCTACGTTCCAGTCAAATAAGTGACCAGCCTACACCTTAGTTTACCAACAAACATGTATTTCAGCAAGTGGCTGAGCATGGTATACCATTCCTCCTCAGTACTGGGCACCTGAAGGCACTGAAATCATGGGCAGGGCATTTTAAAATAACAAATCTTGAGTAACATGTGTTATATTAACTAGTCGCGGCACTATTTGCCATTCTTATGAGTGTTCTTTCTACTTTTGCCTAGCTTACAGCCTTAATTTTGGGATAAAAAAAGTATACTAAAATACTAATTGCAATGAATTATATGTTCTTCAAGGGAAAATGGACACAGATCAGCTAAAGGCACCTGGTTGCACAGAGCTGATTTAGCTGGCTGAGGGACAAACATCATGACCCCCTGTATGTGAGCACCTTTGCCAAGGTGGTGTTTTCTTTGTAATCAGCTCTTTAAATTTTGATAACCGGTTTTATAATCCATAAAGGAACTTTTTTCCCTTGTAATATCTTTGGGTTCTGCTTTGATTTTATATAAATTTCATACATTGTAAGGCTGCCATTATTTTCCCCCCATTTCTCCAGCTTCATTGGGTTTCAAAATGGGCTTAGCTAGGCTGATAGTACTTATGATGGGCGCTGGGGTAGTTCTGTGATTCTGCACACTTTCACTGCAGGTGCTGTTTAGTAAAGCTGCTGAAATGAAGATAAAACAGCTAGCAAAAGAATCCGAAGATAAGAAAAGGAAAGCTGCTAAGATGCTTGAAAACATTATTGACTTGTTTAACCAGGTCAGAACTGATGGGGTGGTGGGTTCTTGGTTACTTTTATATTAAAATAGAAGGTGGACAGAATAGTGGGCTGCATAAAACATATTAAAGCGGAGAAGCCCCGGAGGCTTCTTCACAACAGTGGTACACAGTTGAGATTTACTCGGAAGTGTTAATGACAATGTTGATTGGCTTCCCTCACCCTACATTTTTTTGATGAAAAATTTCAAGTATAATGAGTAGCTTGAATGTAGTCAACTAGATTCAGCTGCTGAATATATATATGTAACTAAACGTGTTTTTAACTTTTTTCTGAAGGAAATTCAGGAAAAATAATTGGTTGTCTCGTGGTCAGACTGGTGGGGCGGGAGTGTAGCTGACGGCAGGGGAGGAGCAAGCACAGCACAGGAAGGCCCGAGTGTGGAAGTGACATTTGAGCACCTTGTACTTTTTGGGCACTTCACACACCTCAGGGTGGAACCTTCCAGTAACACAGGGAGAAGGGTTATTACAATTGTCATTTCGTAAATGAAGAAACAAAGACTCACAGCTACTAAGTGGCAGAATATGGCTTCAACCTCAGGTGTGTCTTACACCAAAGTTCCTATTTCTCCACAGCCTTGCATGATGCCTTCCATCAGGTATCGTATCTCAAAGGGGATCTAGTTAGAGTCACAGCATGGTAATGCTGGAGCCTTAAGAGTTAGCCTTAAGAGAGGATTAAAAGCAAGTTTCTCAAGAGCTAGTTCCAGTTCTTTCCCTCAGTGTTCACATTTATATTTATCCACAGCAGTTAGTTAATACTGCTGCATGGGCGAGAGGGGTAAGCACAGGAGACAGAGTAGCTTCTTCCACTGTCCCCCCTTGCAGGCAGCTGGTGATGCCATCTCTGACATGCTGGTGGTCGAGGCAGTCCTGGCTCTGAAGGGGCTGACCGTGCAGCAGTGGGATGCTCTCTACACGGACCTTCCAAACCGACAGCTCAAAGTTAAGGTATGAGCAAGATTTTAAAATTAAAACCTATTATTTCAAATCTCACTATATAAAAGTATTTTCCTAGTGTGTCAGATTTCATTCTATACATACATATTACTTAAAAAACACAGTTGATGAAGCATTATTTTCTATCTTTAAAGATTACAGAATAGCTCTTAACCATTCTATTGTTTGAGAAGTATTTGGTTTCCAAACTTATAATGATATGTATCACTTAAAAAAATTTATTATGGAAAATTTAAAACGTATATATACATATATATAGAGAGAGAACAAAATAATGAACCTTTATGTAACCAGCTTCAGCAGATTTTAAGTGTTATCCTATACATTCTCCACATCCCCATATAATTTTGAAGCAAATACTGGATAGCCTATCATTTTTAGTGAAAATATTTTCTTTTCTTATTCTTGGTTTACAGAGTATTTCTTGAGGCTAGATGCTGAGTAGAATCTGTGAGCTCAAAAGCAGAGAATTTTTAAAAGGCATTTCAGATAAATGGCTAATTGATTTCTGTGTAGATTTATACCAGTTTACACATTCACCAGCAGATTTGTGAGAGATATAAAAGCCAAAGTTCACAGAAATGGCTCCTTTTTAAAAAAGGATAAGGGGCAACCTAAGATTATTTGATCAGCCATTTAAGTCATACAGTATTTACTGGCTATTATTTTAGTAAGACAGTCTGAGGAAATGTTATTTTTGCTAAAGTTTATTCTTTGTAGACTGAAGAAACAAACTATATAACTATATTGACATCAATAACCCTAATTTTGGCAGAAATAAAAATTATGATGCAATTTTGTTGTATGCTTAATCTGATACTTCACTCTGTGTTGTACTTTATGGCCATTTCAGCTATTGTACACAATCTTTTGGTGGGAATTATGGTAAACAGGTGAAGCTTCTAAAAGGGAGTGAAGTTACAATAACAAATTTTCAATGCTTGTGCATAGGTTGCAGATAGGCAAGTTATTAGCACCACGGATGCTGAAAGGCAAGCAGTTACACCCCCAGGACTACAGGAGGCCGTCAATGGTCTGGTGAAGAAGTACAAGCTCTCCCGAGCTTTCGTTCGGCCCTCTGGTACAGAAGATATAGTCCGAGTCTATGCAGAAGCAGACTCACAAGTAAGCTGGTACAGTCCTATTGAAAAAATGTGCATTGAGAGTCTAATAACAGATAGTGGGAAATGGTAGTGGGAGATGAAAACTATTTTAATAGTGTTTGAATTTCTGTGGTAAGGATTTAATGTCTGAGATTTGTATGGAAACTTTTAGGTTCATATTAAGACTACAAAATTATTTTCATCAGTAGTTGTTACATAGTTAAACAAAATTACTCCCACTTAGTTTATTTCCCCAAATATATATATTTTTTATTTAGTCTACATTTCCTGAAAGGGTCATATTTCTAATTGTGCCATGAATAACCAATAGGTTATTAGTTTGACACATGTTAATTATCTGTTTTTTTTCTTCTGTAAAAACATAATCCTGTTGTTTCATGAAAACGACGAGGTTGGAGGTCCATTTCTGAAATGTATTTGTCCCTAGACGCTCAATTTGTTTTTCAACGTATTTCCTTTCAATGACAGCATGCTTCTGCTGTTTTTGTGATAGGGTCAAGACTCTGTGGTCTGGATATTTATAATTTTCCCTCTCAACACACACTTTTCTTTCACCTTAAACCCTTGACAAAAATATTTGCACAGCAGAGGCAAAACAGAGTTGATTGAATAGGGCCTCAGGAGGAGACATTTTCAATTAATGTATACAGTAGCTGGAAGCTTCTCTGTCCCAGAATATAGTGAACCAATATCCGTGGGGAGTGAGGAGGCTGGGGTGTTAAGATCTTATTACTTACCCTAAGGACTTGATTTTATTCAATTTATTGTCTTGGAATAACTCATTGTATAATCTGATTCAAGAACTTACCTTATTTGGAAGACTTTGTTTTCCATTTATTTAAGGTTGTTGGAATTTGCTACTGAAAGATGCAAAAAAAGAAAAGTTTTCATTTGGATATGTTAGTGGAACAATCAGGAAGCTCCATCCCCTCCCTCAGAGTCACAAGTAACATGGTAGATGCTTTTTCCCATCTAATCCCTCTTCATGTAATTTTCAGGAAAGTGCGGACAGCCTTGCACATGAAGTGAGCTTGGCAGTATTCCAGCTGGCTGGAGGAGTTGGAGAAAGCCCCCAACCAAATTTCTGAAGACAATTTTTATATTCTTGAGAAACTGGATTTTTAAAAAATGTTTTTACAAAATAATAGTACTGCCATTATCGTGAAAGGTTCAAACACGTTTATAATCATGTTTATTGCACCTTACTGGATTCTCTTAAACACTACCAGAATAATTCTTTCGAAAGAGCTAAGCCTTACTCTTGTTATATTTAGTTTTAAAAAATGAAACCTGTAGCTAGCTTCAGTCTTACTAATGTAAAATATTGGGGATTACATATATGATCTAATCAGTAATTTTATAACATGCTGATAAGAATTCATGAGGGCTGCTGGAAAATTAAATATTTATTACCAACACCTTGGGATGTCTTTTCTGTTGCCGTTACCAAACCAGGATGCTGATGCAGGTGGAGAAGACTTGATAGCCTTCAGAAGGATTCTTGGTCACTTACCTCCTCAGTCACCGTCAGAGGTGTGAACATGGGGGCTGCCCAGCTCTGTACTGAAGTGGAGATGCTCGTGCTACACACAAAGGATGCATGTCCCAGGCTTCAGCTCTCCTCACTTCTTTTATGTAGGAGAAAACTAACACACATTACCAACCCTCTGACCGAGAGGTGACACCATTCTGACACCAAAACATGGTTAATAAGAGGAATGAAAAAAACCCCCAACCAACCTAAATTAAACAGAGCTTGAAACCAATAGAAAAAAAATGGGCAGAGTGTATTTTGCAGGTTTAAGACAACTCAGACAATAAAACAACGGACTATATATGTATAATATAGATCTCTCTTAGGCACCATAATCAATATGAGCCAACAATATTTAAACGTGATCCAGGCCACATTCAGACATTTGCTCTTATTTACAAGTATTTAAATTAAATACAACCTGAAATGTGTTTTGTTTTACATACCAAAAAAAAGAAACTATACAACTCAGAGTAATGTTTGTTTTAAATGATTACAAACTAAATGGAATCACTTGTGGTGTTCAAGTTTTTATCACCCCTTCCAGAAAATCTTTTTCTACCATCTCTTCTATTTTTTGCCTGGCTTTGCTGGAAAATGGTTTGTGGTTTTCCAGTTTCATGTCCGTGTTAGGGAAGGTGTTTGAGTAGAGGATGGGGCTCCCTGAGTGTCCCACACATCGGCTGGTGACTTTGCTGTTGAAGACTTGGCTGAGCACATTGAAGAACGGCAGGAGCTGCTCGATGCTGCGCACGGTACAGATCGTGAGCAGCAAGTGCCCCGGCTCCCAACCCAACGTTCTCCCTGAGTTATCTTCCTCTGGATTTTTCTGCAGAAAACAAAAAGAATTTTTAACAGACAATGTAGTACGTGAGAATACTTAAAAGGGTATAAACAGTTAAACAAATGATGACATTACATCTTCATTCCAGACTTGGTTAAAATTCTTGCTTCTAACTGAGGCCTTTGGGACCAGTTATTAAGTGAGTACAGAGGGGTCTAACACTAGTAACGTTTTCCAACTGGAATGCATAAGGAAGCTTAGCAGAATTGGTTTTGGATAGGGACAGTCAAATATTAAAAGTTTATTTTGTGCTTTGCATATACTCAAAAAGCTCCCAGATTTCCGGACTCCCCCTAATGTAACCAAGGACTAGGTCACAAAATGACTACAGAAGAAGGCTAGGAAGGGACAAAGGTTCTTACAGATTCACCATTAGTAAATCAATGAATTACCTTTTAGCCAAATAGCCTAAACTTGCCACAAGATGGTAGCAGGGCCTAAAGTGACTGATTGTTGTCAGCACAGAAAGGAAAGGAACCCAAAGAGACTGCTCTTTGTGTTGTGCTCAACGGCATGGGGGGCAGACTGGAACTGCAGTCAGTGTCCTGGCTCTGCCCTTTACTTACTGTAGAGCATCCTTGGGCAAGATACAGAAAAGCTCCTCACTTATAAAATGGGGACTCTATCTTGCAGCAGAAAGGTCAAATGAGAATGTATGTGAAAATTCTGTCAACTAGACACACAGATCATTTGTATACTAAGAAACTAGTTTGAGAAGCCTACTAACTAGACAAAACACAGCTGTTAGACATCAGTCTATCTAGAAAAAGTTATATGAACTCAATCAAGATGTTTGAGCTTAGGCAGACTCATAGATATGAAACACACTGAGAAGAGATAAAACAAACTGGGTAGCAAAAAAGAAATGAAGTGGAATCTAGGAAGCAGAATTATAATCTGTCTATTGTTGAGAAACTTTGTTTACTTAATGTTTTAACATCACTAGTTTCCTAGTAGAGAGAGATACAAAATCCAGCTTATTTTCTTGAGTATACTCACAGATTTATTTGCTAATTTAAAAAAGTCTTGAGAAAGGAAAATAGATTTAACTTAAAACAGAAGACTCTAAGAGGAAACAAGGTTATCTAATTCTTTAAAAAAATTTTTTTTTCTTTATTGATTTTAGAGAGAGGGGAAGAGAGAGACAGAAACATTGATGAGAGAACACTGACTGGCCGCCTCCTGCATGCCCCTACTGGGGATCAGGCCCACAACCCAGGCATGTTTCCTGACCGGGAATCAAACTGGCGACCTCTTGGTGAATGGGGTCAATGCTCAAACACTGAGCCATACTGACCGGGCAGCTCATCTAATTCTTTATGGCCAAAAAAACCCAGTTATATCTTAGTTAATATGTTAACGGTTATTTAACCTCCTATCTCAATGATAGGATATAGGAAAAACATCTTCCTTTCTCTTAACTTTAACACTTGCTTTAATGACAATCCCAGTACTGACTTGCACATCACAGACTACCATTAATTGGCTGACCATACCTTTAGTTCTGTAAATCAAACAGCAGTTCAATAGTAACTAAAGGGTATAAAACATTATTCTGAAGTAAAATAAATACTATATTTGAACCCTCTACATAACTATTTTCCAAGTGTAAGAGAACTAAGGTTAACCTTTTTCTTTTCCTGTCCAGATGTAACTTTCAGAGAGGGACTTTTACTAAGCTCTTAACCAAGAAGAATGATTTGTTTTAGTGTTCTCTTAATCAGAACCACCTCCCTCAATAATAAATAAAATTAAAAAATCAAACATGTTTCCATACAAATAATTTCTCTTCTCACTTTGCCAATCTATATTTGAAGAAAGACTTCCTTCCTCTACCTCTCTTGTACTTGTTGAAATTCAGACCTGGGTTTGTGTCTCAATAATTTGGTCCAGATATGGCAACTTTTGCTGCCATATCACAAGCATCAAAAAGCCACCCTCACCTGATGCTTGGTCATCTCCAATCCCTCCAAAATCACTGTCTTAAAGTCCTCCTCCTTGTCCTGTGGAAGGAAAGAGGAGAACTCATAGCCTTTGTTCCATGAAAAGTATGCTTGGCCATGAAGACCCTGTTTAAAGTGTTTTAGGGAATGCTTTCCAATCAAAACATTTCTTATTCTGTGGTCAAAAGACTGTCAAGTTTATCCTTTAGATAGTGGAGGAGTCTCATTACTAATGAGATGCAGGGATGACAGAATACATGTGCCTGGGGTCATATATAATGACATTGCTTCTGGATTTGCTCTCATGAATATTTTTTTCAAACCCTGTGATATCAGAGTGGAAGAACTTAAGTCCTACCCTAAACTCTGGACCCAACTTTCGTCTTTGTCTCTGTCTTTTTATTTGGTCCGTAAAGAAGTAATGATACGAAACCAAGTTCTTCATATCCTTCAAGTACAACCTCCTTTTTTTAAATCACTTTCCTCCATTCCATTTTGTATAGTTTGTGGAATGTAGTTTAGGAGCTGCTGCCAGAATAGGGGACCCCAGAAGACTGGAAAATTTCTGAGCACTCAAAGCACATTCTGAAGACTAGATCTCAATATACAACCCAGATTATCCTAAAATTGTACAAATTATTTTTGAAATTTTTGAATGTAAAGACCAGATTTATAAACAAAGGCCCACTCATGAGCATGCTAAAAGCATTACAATTGACCCTTGAACTGTACGGGTCCACTAATACAGATTTTTTTTTTCTAGTGAATGATGTAAATTTATTTTCCTTAACATTTTATTTTTTCTAGTTTACTTTAGTGTAAGAATACAGTATATAATACATGTAACATACAAAATATGTGTTAATCGGCTATTTACATTATTGGTTAAGGTCAACAGCAGGATATTAGTAGTTAGGGTTTTGGGAGGCAAAAGGTATACATGGGTTTTCAACTATGTGGGGGTGGGAGGGGGTTGGTGCCCCTAACCCTTAGATTGTTCAAGGACCGACTTTATTATTTTCTTGGGCAAAGATCTCTAATTAATTAGTCTGATGCATACTGAAAAATATAAAGTATATAATACAATATAAATATATTTTACAAATTTTATCTTCTTACACTTAAAGACAAAGAAGAGTAAGAATGCAATACCTTTGCCCTTTTTCGAAGAAGTTTTGCTAGTCGTACTACATAGGGTTTAAATTCTCGTTGATGTATGCCTTGCCTTCTGACTTCCAAACCGGAATCATCGGAAGCTTCTGGAATAAAGGCCCATCGGTACCTGTGGACAGAAGAAGAATATAGGAGCAGACTTCATGCCATCTAAAACAAGTCCGTGTAAACAGACAGATCGAACCCCCACCACTTTCAGGTTCAAATGCAGCTGTGCCACTGGTAGCTGTCACCTTGGGTATGTTTCTTAAGCTGAGCCTTTTCTTTATACAGATACTATAAATACAGATGCTGCTAGTTAACTATCTCATAGAACTGTAACAAGTAAATGAATATGTAAACTTCTAAAGTGCTCATTACTATTTTTTTCATGAGCATAAAGCAAGTCCTCCACAAATATTTCCATCTTCATTAATAGGCAAAATTTCCACCATATACTTGGCCAAATGTTCCCTAATTACACAGTACGGGGACAAAGAACAAATAAACAGGACTTCTTTCATATGTCTCTTTGTTTTATTTTTGTCTTTAATAAGTAAAATTGATTTCTGACTATGGAAAAAAGTCCAACAGTAGAAAAGGGCATACCAAAGAAAGCTGCTCCCTCCCCCTGCAGGACCCATCAGCATTGCTAGTCTTAGGCATCCATCCCGAGTTTATGCAGAAAAGAGCCCACTTTCCCATGTCCCTTCTCTTTAAGACAAAATGTGATTGCTTCATTTTGATTTAATTATATACC